TTAAATTAATAAAACGAAATATCAAACAATTTTTAAATTTTTAAAAAAAATTTAGACTTGATCAATGCATCAATAATTTTTGAATTAATGATTAGATCATTAAAATTTAATGTATATTATGAGTTATTGTGAGACTTACTATTGGAGTAAGTCTTGATAGACTTATCCTATTCAACAACTCATATTCTATATAAAATTTTAATAATCTAACAGTTAAATTAAAAACTTTTAATACATAGATCAAGTTTACAAATTTTTAAAAAAATTTAAAAATTATTTGATATTTTGTTTCATTAATTCATATGATAGCAAATCATAAAATTATTTTATATGTTGATTTGAATTTATATAATTAAGTATCATATATACAACTTTTAAATTTTTTTAAGCATTTGTATACATTAAGAACTTTTAATTTAACGGTTTGATCGTTAAAATTTAATATAAAATATGAGTTATTGAATAGAATAATAAAATTTACTTTCAAAGTAAGTAAATTTATATATATAAATTAAATTTGTTTGCTTTTATTTTTTATTTCTTTTTCTATATAGATATGTGGTAATAATATTAATTATTACTTTTTTTTAAATAACTTATCCCACTAACTCAAAATCTTGGTTGGATATGCCATTGACTAAGGTTATATATTAAATTTTTATGATTTTAATTTTTATTTCTTTATCTATGTATGGTAATAATATATAATTATTAATTGTTTTAAAATAATTTATCCCACTAACTCAAAATCTTGAATATGCCATTGACTAAGGTTATGCTTTCCATTGGAGGTGGCTCCAACACCTACTCTTTGTCATCCCCAGATGATGCTAGACATGTTGCAGACTACATTTGGGACAACTTCTTGGGAGGGAACTCAAACTCTAGGCCTTTTGGGAATGCCATATTGAATGGGGTGGATTTTGACATTGAAGGTGGGGAACTCCACTATGCAGCACTTGCTTATAGGCTGCATGACCATTATGCTGCTTCTAGAAAAAAGTTTTACTTATCTGCTGCACCACAGTGTCCATTCCAAGATAACTTACTCCATGGGGCACTTACTACTGACATTTTTGACTATGTTTGGATCAAGTTCTACAACAATCCTCAATGTGAGTTTACCTCAAAGGACCATAGTGGGTTCAAGAGTGCATGGAACCAGTGGACCACTTCAATTAATGCTGGCAAGTTCTTTGTTGGACTTCCTGCCTCACATGATGCAGCTAAGGATGGTTTTGTGCCACCTCGTGCTCTCATAAATCAATTGTTGCCTATAGTTAGGTCACCTAAATACGGAGGTGTAATGCTATGGGATAGTTACCATGATTTGCAATTTGGATATAGTGGCAAAATTAGAGGAAGAGTTTAAAAGTTCTGAGGATCAGTCTCTAAGATAGCTAAATTTTTCAAATAGTTGTTGTTAACTAGATATTCAAATTTTCAATGTTATTTTGTAGCCATGAATGTGACAAAAGTTTATTCCTTTGAAAATAAAATAAGTGTACTTTAAATAAATAAATAAATATATATATATATAGAGAGAGAGAGAGAGAGAAAGAGAGAGAGAGGAGAAATTCATTTTTTTAAGAGTAAGTTTACTTAAACTTATTTCGTTCAATATTTTATGTTCTACATCAAATTTCAAGTATTCAACTCAAGGTTTTAAATTGCGGACCGCATCACGTATTGTGGTTGCAATATTTGCAGTTGTGGCCTTGTCTGCAATGGCATCGGACCACAATTCCGGTGAGATCGTAAATCACAGATTTTTCTGTAACGTAACGGTGTTGCGTCTACAACACCTTTGTTTTGAATCCGCAATACGACAACTTGAAGGTTGGAATAGATAATCGTTTTAAAAAAGTAACTTTTTATTATAATAAAAAAGAAGTAACTTTTGGGAATCTTTTCAGAGAAGAGAATAGAGAATCGTTTCAGTAGATCAATAGTGGTTCAAACTTTAAAATGACTTAAAAGGTGAAAAACAATAACATAGAACTTACACTTTCATTCAAAACTCCCTTTGTATCTCTACCAAGAAGAGGAAGTTTGCTTGTTAATTGTAAGTTTTCTGCCTCTTACCCATTGTTTCTCTTTGTTATTGTCGTTGATATCCTTGCCAGTGTTGTTGGCTTGTTGTTGTGCTGCACTCTCAAATCCATTGGTTCCGCGGTAAATAGTGATGAATCTGTGATTTTGGCTTGAATCGCTTGATTTTGGTTTGCCGCTGTGATGAATCTAGAATTTGGGGGTTAACGGTGTCAATCCATCAACCCATATGAATGGAGACTTAACAATTTCTTTTAATATAAATTTTTATTGAGTGCTACACAAGTTAACGTGGCATGGAAAAAGATTAGAATGAAAGGTGGATCTGGACGTGGGCCTTTGGGCCTTGTGGCCTTTAATGAGAATTCCAAATGGCCTTTAGAGATTAGACATGTGAATCTCCTCCGTATTGTATGGGTTGTTGGCAATCTTAATAACATGAATCTCTAATATTTAATTTTATATTAGATTATTATTTATTATTATTAATGTAGCATTGAACCATTGAACCTCGTGCCCTACTTCGAATTGCTTTCACTTGCCCAAAGGGTTCTTAGAGACACTTTCTTATTGTTTCAATTATTGTGAAACAATAAAATGAGAAATCTGGTATTCTATTTTATTACTATCTTTAAGATTTTTTTAATAACAAAATAGAATAACAGATTTTCTATTTTATTATTGCAAAATTCTTCATACAATTAAAAATTGTTTAGCCAGTAAAATGACAAAAAAAAATATTTTTGTAAGTAAATGTTTTCTACCATGATAATCACTAGCGAATATACAAATATTGTAATAGTAAATTAAAAAAATATAATTATAATTATTATCTAATTTAAACGAAATGGAATTAGCATATTTTAAAAACTAAACTCAACTTATTTTACTTTTACAGAAAATAATGTATTTTTGTTAGTTAATTAAGACATTCTCACTCATGGGGTTAAAAAAATTATCAACTTCAACATATTTTAACGAAACTAATTTAATAAACAAAAAAGTGAAGAAAGTACCAACAAGAAATTTGAATTGTTTTAGAATGATTTTCTCGTTATTTTTTAAGATACATAACATGTATATCTTTTATTAAATTTATCATTTTTTTAACTTATTTTAATTATAACTATGTAATACATCATTCTTATCCTAATTAGATGTAATAACTAACTTTTAATAGATTCCAAATTTCAGTACATATTTTTTGGGAGGAAAAGACCCATAGGATCAAAATCGAAAAGAAAGATTAAAAAAAATGAATAAATAGGGAGATAAATCTTTCTCATTCATTTAAAAACCATTATCTCTCGTTACCAAAAAAAAAATCATTATCTCTAATAGTTAAGAAAATATTTGCTAGATATTTTCCAACTTAAGCTTTCAAGTTTTCTAAAGCATCTTGATAGGTATAAATTAAATGGTATTAAATATATTTTCTTTATTTTCTAATCAGTAGGGTCGAGATATTTTGTGTCTTTATTAAAAATAAAAATTAATTAATAAAAATATATTGATCTAGTTGGTGTTATGATTAATCCATTAGTTTTAAGTTCTTAAATTTGATAAAAAAAATATTTTTTTAATTTTTTAAAATAGAAGGGTATAATGGTCAAAAAATGTGGAGACCAAAGTGGTTACCGAAAAGGGTATCCCCTTTATATATTAGTATAGATGTGAATGATTATTAGAATATTTTGTAATATTTTTATATATAATAATTTGTTTAGCCTAATTATATGTATATCAATATTAGGTTGTTTATATTTATTTTTTTTATGTTAATTTATTAGTCATTGTTCTGAAGTTTGAAATATAATTTAATTATTGATTGATATTATATTTTAAAAATTTTATGCAGATATATACACATAATGACATCAAATGAAGAATTTCCTATATGAAGACTAGAAGGTGCTCCAAACGAGGATATTGGGTGGCCTTTTGGAGTACTTATAGCATGAAATCGCAACAATGTCCAATGTAAACTTTGTCAAAAAATAATAAGGGGTGGCATTACAAGATTGAAGCAATACATAGCACATGATAAAGGTCAAGTAGCAGGTTGTCCAAGAGTCACGTCATTTGTTAGGGAGAATATGATGAAACTTCTCAAAGATAAAAAAGAAAATAAAATTGACTTTAGAAAAAGAAAAGAAGAATTTGAATCTTGATTAAAAGAAGATGATAAGAAGATAGTGACAAGGAGATGAGGATAGCTTCGCAACAAAGCATTAGATCACAACGTGAGTGGAAAGATAGACAACGATTCAGACAACAAACAAAGGGATCTAATAACATCTATGAATCAGGTGGAAGCTCTCGCATGAGTGTTAGTCAAACTTCAAGAAAAGAAGATGTTACTTTTGCTTTAAGATCTACAAATGTGGATCTTGTGAGAAGTAAAAGTATGAAACAATCAAAAATAAGTGGGGTCTTATGAAGACATTAAAGAAAAAGCTCGGAGAAGCGGTAAGCAAGTTTATAATTTATGAACACTGACCTATGAATTTATCAAATTCTCTATGGTTGCATAATTTGATTATTGCAGCAACTGAGGTAGGTCTATCTGTTAAATGCCCTACACCTTATGAAGTTTTTGATGTGTATTTAGAAGCTGAATATAAAAGCATGCAAGAATGGATAAGCAAGTTGAAAACTACATGGAAGGAAAAAAGGGTAACAATAATGTGTGATGGTTGGACAGATAATGTAAATCATACACATATTATGAATTTTCTAGTGTATTGTAGCAAGGGAACGATTTTCTTGAAATCTATTGATGCTTCTAGTGTTGACAGTAGAAATACTGATTACTACTTTCAGTTATTGGATAAGGTTGTGGACGAAGTGGGAGAAGAATTTGTAATTCAAGTTGTTACAGATAATGAAAAAGCACTTAAAGTAGCTAGTCAAAAGTTGATGGAAAAGAGACAACATTTATATTGGACTGCATGTGCAGCACATTGTTTGGATCTTTGTTTGGAGGATATAGGAAAAAAAAAGAATGTGCAAAAGTTATTAAGTGATGCAAAAGTAGTAACAACTTTTATCTACAATCAGACATTGATTGTAAATCTCATGAAAAAATACACTGGAGGTAGAGAAATTGTTCATCCTAGTGTTACCTGATTTGCAACACAATTCTTACAACTTCAAGCAATTGTGCAACAAAAGCAAGGCTTGAGGAACATGTTCAACTCTGAAGAATTTAGACGATCTAAATTTGGAAGAGACAAAAATGAATTGGCATTTAAAGCAAGACAACTTGTTATTGGCAATGATTTTTGGAGCAAGGCTAATGATATATTGAAGGTATTTGAGCCTTTAGTAAAAGTTTTGAGGCTAGTTGATGGTGATGAGAAACCAACAATGGGTTTTATATATGAGGCCATTGATCGAGCAAAATAATCAATTCAAAAAATTTATCGTTATTATTCTCAATACCAAGAAATAATTGACAAGCGTTGGAGATTCATGCATTCTAATCTTCATTCTGCTGGTATGTCATTATAATTTTACTTTTATTATATAAAGCAATACATTAATACGTACAATTATAGATACATATTGATTAGCTATTTATTTTTTAGGTTATTTTCTTAATACACAATTTCAATATGGAGTTGAACATGGATCTGATGTATATCGAGAGACATCTGAAGAAACCAAAAAGGTCATTATGAAATTAGAGAGAAACATGGATGAACAAATGAACTTCAACGTGCGGCTATTAAAGTTTTAAGTCAAACAACTTCAGCCACAAATTGTGAAAGAAATTGGAGTACGTTTAGATATATTCATACAAAGACAAGGGATAGACTTAAGTACAGAAAGTTGCAAAAACTTGTCTTTACACATTACAACATGAAATTGAAAATGAGGCATCAAATGAGGAAAAGTCAAGAAGAAATTGAAGCAAGTTTCAATCTAATTAATCTTGATTATATATTTCGAGAAGATGATCCATTATCTCCATGGATAGAAGAAAGAGAAAATCCACTTTTAGATGGAGTTCAAAATTCAGAGTGGTTGCCTCGAATTGATACAGATGATGAAGATGTGGAAGATGGAGATAGTGATAATGATGGTGGTGACTTAAGCCCACCAAGTAATAATAGTGGTGATGATGGTGTTGATATTGAAGGTAAAGAAAATGATGGTGAGGATGATGAGGATGAACAAAGACAGAATGATCCATATCAAGAGATTCCATATAATAGGCGTGACACAAATCTAGTAATTGATTTCACTACTTCTATGCCAGGTATGATTCCTCTTGATCGTTCATTTTCAGGTAATAATAGAAGAGACAATTCACAAGTTAGAAGAGGAATAAATAAACAAAATGTGTCATGTCAAGATTCTTCATCTTCTCATATT